TGGGACCAGTTAACGAACCATACTGGTGCTGTTATGGTTTTCAGGTGTTGTGGAGGACCTGGAGGACCTGGAAGACCAGATGTTGGTCCTTCAGGTCCTTCAGGTCCTCCAGGTCCGTGCTGAGGCCTGCTGACCTCCGGCTGCCTGGTCCTGGACTGCAGAGCTGCAGCTGTTCCAGGTGTTTCTCAGCTGTTCAGTCAATCTGAAGCCGTGTGCTGGACACGACGCTGGAAACATGACGTCCCTCAATCACAGTGTGAGCTTCAGTAAACACGTGTCCTACCTGTGCAGGTGTTCAGGCCTGAAGACGATGGAGACTCCTGAACGTTGCTGTCTGAGGCCGTGTTCAGCCCTCAGTCGGTCTGTCTGTCGTCCTCTGTTGTTTGGATGGATTATTGGTTTTTACTTGGACACATCAGGCTCCGCCCACACAGATTAACCCCCCCACCCCCCACCCCTCCACCTCCTCACAGCTGTCAATCACAGCAGACGGAGGGGGAGGGGCTTACAGCTGTTCTGGTTTTACTCATCATGATGGGCTTCCTGCAGAGGATTCTGGGATCTGTAGTGTTTGTGTAACCAGGAGGAAACCTGAGTCCAGCCTCCTTCTGAGAGTCAAACAACAAAACCTGGATATGAACACACACACACACGTGTTATAAGTCTGGATATGAACACACACACACGTGTTATAAGTCTGGATATGAACACACACACACGTGTTATAAGTCTGGATATGAACACACACACACACGTGTTATAAACCTGGATATGAACACACACACACACACGTGTTACAAGTCTGGTACGAACACACACCAGTGTGTTGATCACACCCGTGGACACGGTGCTGGGTGTGTTGACAGCAGGTTTTTCCATTTTTGCAACAATAAATAAGTGATAATAATCTTGTAATAATTCATAGAGGCTTTTAAATGTCCTAATTTATTTATTTATTTATGCTGTTTTGCTTTTGTTAATTCAATCATTTTGTTTTACAGTTTTAATCAATATATTGATTTCTCTTATTGTTTTTAAACACACGTATCAGTTTTATTGTATTGCTTTTGTCCATCAGTGTTTTATATTCAGTAT